ATATATATATAATATAGTAGATAACATTTTATTCTGTTGGCCAGGAGAGAAAAGTAACTGCCAATAGGAAGTTTAGCTTTGACTTGCCTGTAAGAATAACATCTTTAGAAAGACTAACATAATAAAAAGTTAATACATAAGGGCTGCGTCTAGACTGGCATGATTTTGCGGAAATACTTTTAACGGAAAAGTTTTTCCGTTAAAAGTATTTCCGCAAAAGAGCGTCTAGATTGGCACGGATGCTTTTGCGCAAAAGCATCCATGCCCAGTATAGACGCACTTTTGCGCAAGAAAGCTCCGATGGCCATTTTAGCCATCAGGCTTTCTTGCGCAAAAATTAAGGTGCCTGTCTACACTGGCCCTCTTATGCAAGTATTCTTGCGCAAGAGGGCTTATCCCTGAGCGGGAGCATGAAAGTATTTGCGCAAGAAGCACTGATTTTGTACATTACAAAGTCAGTGCTCTTGCGCAAATTCAAGCGGCCAGTGTAGACAGCTGGCAAGTTTTTGCGCAAAAGCAATTGCTTTTGAACAAAATCTTGCCAGTCTAGATGCACCTAAGGTGTTGGGTGTTTTTAATGAGAGGCTTAACAATAGCCAGCTAGAAGCCACATAGTCTTTGAGCTTACAAGGGAAAAACCTTTGAGTACAATGAACTTGTCTAACTCTTACTTTCTATTCTGTACCTCCTTACTAGTAGCTATAGATAGTCAATGCAGCGGTGCTGTAAACAAGGGTGAAACTAGCCTAAAATACATTTAAAATTGTACTTCTAAATTGGACTCTTCTAGATGCAGCACAGCTGTCAGACAGTGTTGGTTGATAAACAGAATTTACATGAAACTGATGCTGCTGAGAAGGAAAAATGCATGTTCAAGTGAAGATTTTCTTATACAGTCCAGATATAATTATCTCAGAGGAGAAGTGGGCGTCACAGAATAAAGCCAAGTAAGAGTGTAATCTTGGACAAAGCGAGCATGTCAGTGTAGCAGTAATATTAAAGCATCCAATGGGTAGAGAGTCTTGCTAGCAGCCTGCCTGAGATGGGAAATATAAAAGTGCTAAAAGAGAAGTCTACACTGAGTCTGGCCACAGCACTTGTCTGGATAACCTGCTGTTGTTTTTGGCTGATAATTTCTGCGTTTTGTTCGCAGTCATGAAGATTGTGCTAAGGAAAGCGAACTACTTCAGCAAGCCTGCCACTGACTGAATACACAGTATTGTTCATAGATGAGCTATTTCTGAATCTGAAGAAAGAAGCAGCTTTTTAGAAATGGTTACTCCTTCTATATGGCTTTCTCCTCCATACTTAGCACATGCCTTTGAGAAATCAGCAAAGCTGAACACAAGTTTTGAAGGGTCTTTTGAAATACCCAACATCTCCAGTTTTTTTCCCTGGAATAACTACACCCTTGCTGACTGGCAGAGCTTTGTGGGCAGGAGAAGATATGGGGCAGAGTCTCAAAATCTTACGGTGAAAGCCCTGCTCATTGTGGCATACTCCTTCATCATAGTTTTTTCGCTCTTTGGGAATGTCTTGGTCTGTCATGTCATCGTCAAAAACAAAAGAATGCACTCCGCTACCAGCCTCTTCATTGTGAATCTAGCTGTAGCAGACATAATGATAACACTTCTCAACACTCCCTTTACTTTGGTAAGAACTTGACAGAGGTCTGTTCTCTCTCTCTGCGGCTTTTCTCTAAAATGTGAGCCTCTGTAGTGGAAACTGTATCATTGGCAATTTTTTCCCTTAACAGAAATAGCTTAGTATATGGAGTTCACCTCTGATTGTTGTTACTTGCACGCACAGGAATGGCAAATGACACTGTAGTAAAAATGAGGCTGCAATTTAAGTTCTATTAAAGCATTCATTTAATAACTTTTTTCTGTATCCTGTTTTATGGATTTATATTCTACAGTCTATTCTCTGCTAATGCAAGACAGTTCTATGATAAATTTGCTAGTGATCTTTCCAGGTTAGTTTCAAATGTCTGTAGGAATGGAATCATAATATTTTGGGAAGATTTAACAGATTTTTGCTTTTTCTAAAGCTTATGGTCCAGTTAGAAATAGAATAATAAAAATTGCACCTGTGGTTTATGGCCAAGGGCATTGTTGGAACTAAACTAGTAAGAATAATAGGGCTATAGTTACATGCAATTTTACAATATTTACATATTTTCTCTCCCCTTAGGGGCTTCTGATATAACACCATGAATCTCCCTTATTTAAAAATATGGTTAATGATCAGATCAGCATCATATTACATGATCTGATGAAAAGAAAAATTTGCATTGTACCTAGCTCAGGAATGCAGGAGTATCCAAGTATCCACCAGGGATGTTTGGGCAAGGGGAACTGACTTGTTGTCAGTTATTTGGGTATGGAGGAAAATATTTTGAAGAAAGCCAAACAAATGCAATTAGAAGTTACTCCACTATACTGGCTGGGTGCATCGTGCCGGGACAGTACAGTGGCACTCATATAACTATTACTGGATCACCTTCAAAAAAACCCTTGACACTATTTAATGTCCTATTTCAGGCTACAATAATCAGCCAATAAATCAAAGGAGACCGAGATTAGATAAAAGAAAGAAGTGGTGTGTTAGCCCAATTGTGACCTGCAGATTTTCAATAATTCTTTAGGGATGGAAGACAAGAGCAGCTAGTTGTGTGTTGACCAGGGCATAGTGAGTTGAGTGTCTGGCATGTGAAAAGCATCCTAATTATGCATGTAAAAAGTCAAATGTATTCCCTGCTGGATTGTTCTTAGGCTCGGTTTGTGAACAGCACGTGGATATTCGGAAAGGGGATGTGTCACATCAGTAGATTTGCACAATACTGTTCCCTCCATGTCTCAGCTTTGACTCTCACAGCAATTGCAGTGGACAGACACCAGGTGAGAGTTCTCTTAAGCCATGAACTACAAGTGCTGGCTCATTTCCTTATTTTTTAAAACTAGAAGTTAAAAACCATTTTCAGAACACCTGAGTTTAGCACAGGGCATGTGGTGCAAGAATTGCCAGGGGATGGTATATATTTTTTCTAATGCGTACTCTGGTATCACCTAAGAAAGAGGAATAAATACAATTTAGGGGCTACAGGGTGCACTGGCAGTCTGGAGTCCTGAGTTCTGTTCTCAGGTCAGCCACTGGCTTTTTGCACAAACCTTTTTGCTTCTCTAATAGGGTTGAACCTCTCTAGTCTGGCACACACTGATCCGGCAACATTCGTAGTCCAGCATGATTTTAGGTAGCTGGATGTCCACTTCTCATAGGTGTGACCAACTTTCCCATGGTCCTGTAAAGTTTGTTTACAGCCACCAGTCCTGGCTCTTAGTGTTCTGTGCTGTTATTTACCTCTAATTTATCCCTAAATGTCTTCTAAGAGCCCACTAAGCAGTAGAAGTGTTGGTAATGCTGCTAGACAATATCGACCTCCTGTGGTTCAGCAAATTCTCTGGTTCAGAATGGGTCAGGTCCCAAGTGCAGAGGTTCAACCTGTAGTAATGTCTGCCTCCGAGAGGGAGCTTGAAGCTGAATGAACGGCTTGTGCTCCTTCATCCAAGAATCTCAAAGCATTTCACAAAATATTGTGTATTATTCTAAATGCAGGTACATGCTGCATCTTCAGACATACACTCACATATGAAGAGCTGTAAAATACATATGTGAGTGTATGTCAGCATACATTGTTCTTCTTTTGGTCCTCCTCCAGGATCCTCTCTACTCCCTGGGACCCCTAGTTCTTCCCAGTTCCTCAGCACCCTCCCGGTCTCAGTGGCCCACTGCCAGTCCCTCACTAGCCCCTCTGGGCAGATGGCAGTTTCTCCAGGCCCCTCCTCCCTGGCCACGGGGGTAGTGGCCCACTGCCAGTCCCTCACTAGCCCCTCTGGGCAGATGGCAGTTTCTCCAGGCCCCTCCTCCCTGGCCACGGGGGTGCCTCTGCTGCTCGGTTGCCTCCTGCAACCCTGCCTTGCAGTCTTGTGGCCTGGGGCTTCCCTGGCTCGAACTCCCCCAGCTTACCGCAGCTGCCTCGGTGCAAGCCACAGCTGCCTCCTTACAGCCCGGTCTTTTAGGGCTGACTCCATGCGAGCTCCGGCCGCGACTGCCTCCTTGCAGCCCTGGGCCTCTGGCCAGGTAGCCTGGGTTCATCGTGCCATAGCCTCCCCAGTCCTGCCCTCTTCCAGAGAGCCTCTTGCTTCCTCGGTAGTCAGGTCTCCACTGCTCTCCCTCCAGAGCAGCAGGCAGGTAGATCTCCCTCTCCTCCTCCTAGGAGCTGTTCTGATTGCCTCCAACTGGGCCCTCATTTGCCGCAGCTGTGCTTCCCCGACTCCCTATTCAGCCCCTCAGAGGGTCAGGGCAGGGCAATGCCCTGTCACACAGGGCAGAAATTGGTGCCTCCCCAGGAGCCCACTGAAGTCAACCCTTCGCCGTGTGGGTGCAGAATTTCACCTCATCTCCCGTAGCAGAATTGGGGCCTTACATTTATCCATTTCTTTCAGCGTGAACTGGGAAAGCTGGTTACTTACAATTTCATTCACAGACCCACTCACTTTCTGGTTCATTAAGCTGCCATCAGAGGGAGCCGTGTGCAGGCATCTCCCCTGCAGCAGAGGCTCATTAAACTGCCATAATTACTGCTGGATTTAAGAGTGGGAGATAATATGAGGAAAATTGCAGAATTATTAAAATGGCATCAAGCTACATGTCTGTTTATTCCAAATAGGTTATAATGCATCCTCTGCAACCGCGCCTATCCACTGCAAAAGGCATCGTGTACATCTCTGTCATCTGGATCATGGCAACGTGTTTCTCTCTCCCACATGCTATTTACCAAAAACTCTTCACTTTTGAATACAGGTAAGACTGATCCCTGCTTTGATTCACAAAAACATATGGAGCCTGATGCTCAAGTAGGGGACAAGCACGTATAACTTCACTGAAGACAAAGGAGCCATGACATTTTACACCAGCTTAGCATTTAGTCCATAGATACCTATCACAATGGCTATTCTTCTCATATTATTCATCAGCAACACAGAGTGTCAGATGCACCAGGCCAGATGATCAGTTATCATAAATTAGCAATTTACACTAAAATTTACACTGGCTCATTGATTGAGCTCAGAACTGGAAACGAGTTTCTAACTGGTTCTGATTTAATCCCAGCTCCATCACTGACTCCTTGGGCAAGTGACTCAACCTCTCTGTCTTGGTTTCCTCTTTTGTAGAATAAAGATCATAATACCTGCCTGACACCCTCTGCGGTGAGGATTAATTAACATTTGTGAAGTGTTTTGCTGATGGAATAGGCCATAGAGATGATCATTCTTTTATTACTATTTATATATAGAAGTTCATTGAAAGGCAGGGAGAGTTTCACACCACTCCTAAGAACTTCATTTTGTGCAGCTGGTAATTAGAGGTTGCAATTAATTAGCTTTATAAGGCGATCATAATGTCATGCATGCTGTGATAAATTATTCATATCATATTTCTTGTAAGCGCCACTATGGGCTACCTCCTCAACTGGTGTAAACCAGCATTGCTCTGCTGACGTCAATGGAATGATGTGAATTTGCACCAGTTGAGGATCTGACTCTTTGCTGTTATGACAGGAGTCTTGTCTTTCTCTCCCTCCATTACTGTCTCTTACTGTGATGCCTAAGCATGTTTGCTCATTCATTGTGATCAGTCCTTTTATCTGCAGCGAAGAAGTTACCCGATGCCTGTGTCTCCCAGATTTCCCTGAACCAGCTGATCTCTTCTGGAAGTATCTAGACTTAACAACGTTCATTTTGCTGTACGTTCTTCCCCTTTTCATCATCTCTGCTGTCTACATGAGAGTGGCCAAGAAACTCTGGCTGCACAATGCCATTGGGAATGTGACCATGGAGCAGTACTTCGCCCTTCGGAGGAAGAAAAAAAAGACCATTAAGATGCTGATGCTGGTGGTTGTCCTCTTTGGTGTTTGCTGGTTTCCTTTAAACTGCTACGTTGTCCTCCTTTCTAGCCAAACTATTCATACCAACAATGCCCTGTACTTTGCTTTTCATTGGTTTGCGATGAGCAGCACCTGTTACAACCCCTTCATTTACTGCTGGCTCAATGAACATTTCAGACTGGAACTGAAGTCTTTGCTTAACGTATGCAAAAAGCCACGTAGCCTGAGAGAGCACAGGCCTCCATCCACAGTTCCATCCTACAGAGCAGCCTGGCCAGAAAACAGCAACTTCAAGAGGTCTCGGGTCACCCATGTCCTTCCATCAACCTCTAATCTCCAATCAGGAAAGACAGACATCACTTCAGTTGAACCTGTAGTAGCTGTGAGTTGACTGACATAAACAAATGGGTCTTGTGGGATCTGCACTAGGATTGCAATATATCTATATGGCCTCCAAAGAAGACACTCTTGAAGATGGGAAAGACTATCTTTTCTTTGTCAGACTGACTTTGAACTGTTGGCTAGCAAAGAACTCTGTATGTACACGTAACTTTTAGCTGTAGGTAATGCTGTCTAGTCCTTTGTCCTAGGAGGTTTGTGTGTGTGTTGTGTATTGTGAGCTAGAACCAAAGCACTGAAACCATTATCAAACTACATCAAGTCTCAGTGTTGAAAATGTTATGTAGTGCACATGGAATTGGTAAAGAAGTAAATTCATTGTGATGGCATTGCTTGAATCCAGCCCAATTTAGCAGGGACAGAAAGCTGTTATCATGGATCACAGGCTAAATGGGCCTTTAAGGCAGCCCAGGCAAAACATTGCCTATGATCTAGCAGCCACCCCGAGCTGACAGAGATATGGTAACGTAGGCCTTGTCTATGCTGGCACATTTTGTCAACAAAAACAGCCTTTTGGTGGCATAACAGTGAGAGCATTTACACTGCGATGCGACTTTTGTCAGGAAAAACACTCACTTTTGGTGACAAACTTCCGGTCCTGCAAGAGACTTTTTTTTTCTTTTCACCTCTCTTTGTGACAAAGAGCAAGTGTGGAGTCTGCTGTTTGTTTTGTCCAGGGAACTGGCTTCTGCCAGCATCCCACAATGCCTGCCCTGATGGCTGTACTCAGTGTTTTGTGATCTCTGCTGCCCTGCAAGCATGCACCTCTCCCCTCTCAAAGCTTCCAAGAAGCATCTGACAGTTGAGTGAGCTGCTTGGTTTGCGGAACAAAGAAAGAACAAATCATTGGAATGCTCCTGTTCTGCCTGCGAGGAACACAGCAGCAGGCACACTGCTACTGCCGTGGAAGGACTGGTGAGATTGCTGTGCTACTTTGACATTCCTCAGCACAGAGAGCTCTCAGAGTTGCTCATGATGCTGCTCTTCATAGCTGAGGAGGCTGTGGGAGAACTCGGAAGGAATCCCAAGAAGCACAGAGATCAGCTCTGCCTTCCCCCAAAATTGCATTGTGGGATGCTTACCCACATTGCTTTGCCCTATCTGTCAGTAGGGGAGTTAATAATGTGGCTATGAAATGTCAACAATGGGAGGCAGAAAAATCGTTTTGACTGGTTTTCACTTTTGGTGACTCTTGCATGTTGACAGCACTTTTATCACCAGACCTTTCTGCACTGGTGGGCCACATCTAGAGTATTGTGTCCAGTTCTGGGGCCCCCACTACAGAAACAATGTTGATGTATTGGAGAGCGTCCAGTGGAGGGCAACCAAAATGATTAGTGGTCTGAAGCACATGACCTATGAGGAGAGGCTGAGGGATTTGGGTTTGTTTAGTCTGCAGAAGCGAAGAGTGAGGGGGGATTTGATAGCAGCCTTCAACTTCCTGAAGGGAGATTCCAAAGAGGATGAAGAGAGGCTGTTCTCAGTAGTGATGGATGGCAGAACAAGGTGCAATGGTCTCAAATTACAGTGGGGGAGGTCTAGGTTGGATATTAGGAAAAAACTATTTCACCAGAATGGTGATGAAGCACTGGAATGGGTTATCTAGGGAAGTGGTGGAATCTCTATCCCTAGAGGTTTTTAAATCTTGGCTTGACAAAGCCCTGGCTGGGATGATTTTGCTGGGATTGGCCCTGCTTTGGGCTGGACTTGATGGCCTTCTGAGGTCTCTTCCAACCCTATGATTCTGTGATTCTATAACTTCTTTTGCTGTTGTATATATCCTGGCTTCTGTCATTTCCACTCCAAATAATCTGATGAAGTGGGTTTTATCCACGGAAGCTCATGACCTAATCAGTATGTTAGTCTTTAAGGTGCACAGGACTCCTTGTTGTTTTTAAAACATACACTAGTCCAACCAACACTGAAGAAACCTATCCTGGATAAATTAACCCACAACTAGCAAGCCCTGCATCAAACTTTCTGTCCCCAAGCAAGTTCATAGAGAAGCTATCCAAAGGCCAGTTGCATGTTCATGCAGTGGAAGCTAATATCCTGGACCTGGCACAATTTGAATTCAGGTCAGGACATGGAAATGAAACTACTTTAGTGGCATTGATGGATATCTCCTCCTGTCAATGGAAAGAGGATGGACATTTGTTTTCATCTTGCTGGATTGCTCTGGAGCATTCAATGTTGACCATCAAATATTGCTGCCTCATCTGAGAGAAGTATCAGAGATCCAAGGTAATGAGCAAAAACACTTTGCATCCTTTTTAGTGGAGGACACAATGAGCATGGGGGTGATACTTTGGGGAAGGGAAGGAATGGGGAAAGAGCTGTCATGGAGCAGCCGTGGGAACTTGGAAGAGATGGATTGGGCAGCCATGTGCTAATGCCTCATATGGTTTAACAGCAAAGGGACTGCTTCTGTGATGTAGAGGGCTGGAAAAAGGAATTTCTGTACAGAGTCTACAGAGGCTGCAGACACACCCAAAGCACCCCGCACCATGGAAACACTTGGCATTTACTCTGTACATTTAAGCAGCTACAGTAGATGTGAAAATTGGCTTTTGGGGTTATAGAAGTATTGATGTGAAAATCTGATAGTCAGCACTGAGATCTGGGGGCTGATAGGCAGGGACAGTTTTTTTACAGTTCATGTGCTCAGACTTAGGAAAAGGTTGGCTCACTAAACCCATCAGCCGAAGTGGCAAAATAATAACGATCCTGAGTCTGTTTGCAAAATGGCGAGCACCAGGGATGGTTCTGAGAGCTCTTACTACCCCTTTCACCACCCTTGCTCACTGAAGGAGGGCGCAGCTCCCCTCCATTGCCAAAAGAGCCCCCCACCCTCTCCTTCTCCTCTTCCTCCACTTGGCACAGTGAGAGCTCCCTCTACTCTTTCAGTCTGCTTAGACCATTGCTATTTACAGTGACTTTGGGCCCAATTCCCATCTCTGCTCTGGCTCCTTCATGCCACCCAGGTGACTCTCTACTGACAAAAGACAGAGCAGCCCCCACACTGCTCCATTCCAAGATCCAGCAGATAAATCAGCCCACAGGATCAGAAAGCCATAACCAGCTCCTGACAGGTTTCCCTGCCCCCTCAATCTAGTCTCTTGTGCACAGGCCCCGGCCTCTAATTTTCCTCACCCCTTGCTCCACCCCTGGCCCACCCTACTCCATCTCTATCCCCAAGTTCCCACTGCTGCTCCACCCCAGCCCACTCCATCCCTTCCCTCAAGGCCTCCCCCCCCCCCCCCATGCCTCTTCACCACCTCTTTCCACCCCACCTCCCAGGCCCACCCCACCCCCCACCCTCCCCCCCC